CCTGAACCAGAGAGAGGGCCTTGTGGCGTTCCAAAATCATGGTACTGGGAGAGGAGGCGGCATCACAGCAGTGCGCTACATTGATCAAGCTCTCAGACCCCACGTCAAACCACATTTCGCACGTCATCAAAAGAACGTATTCCAGCATGATAACGCCCGTGACCACACCGCCAGAGTTACTCGGGACTGTCTACAGCAGAACGGTGTCAACGTTATGCACTGTTCAGTCCTTAGTCCGGACTGAAAGCCGATTGAACATCTTTGGGATGAAATTAAGAGGAGACTAAACAACGTCGTACCGAGACCAAACACAGCCGATGGATTGTGCCAGGCTTTTCTGAGAGTGTGGTTCCAGGTGCCAATGGCATTCAATAATCGTCTGGTCCACTCCATGTACTGAGGTATAGACTGTGTACAGACTCTATACCTTCTTGAAATGTCTTGGAATTGTGATGAATTAAACTCTAATGTGCCAACATACTGTTCACAAAAAATTGCTTTGATCCATTTATTAAGTCGCGTTTTCTAGAATGATTTGATTAAAGCGCCTCTCTGATTTTGAAATCGTAGTGACGTTTGTGTTTGTTTTTTTCGTTTTTTTTCTGTTTAGTAGTTATTTGACTGGGAATTTCAATATATTCATTTCGTCATCTATTTTGATCTATTATAACTAGGGTGATCCACGCACCTACAGAAATACAGTCAACCGCTGATAGTTCGAGACTACCAACTTTCTGACAGTATGATACTATAAATAGCCATGGCACGTGCAATTCTCTACAAATCTATCAACTATTACAGCCGTAAAAAAATTATTGTTGACGATTTTGAATATCAGTAAAATTAAGCTTCTTGGTTATTACAGCAGATTTAGAAATTACGTTCGTTTCATTTTTTAAATCGCTTTATCATTAACTGTACCGTTAAGAGCGGCATCTTTTGGTTTAGTACAAATAATATCTCTGAAACACTCGGGTTAGACAGGAACATGATACTATCAGTAGTTTCATTTTACTTTTACAAGCTTCTTAAAACAATTGTTGAGCTAGCTAACGTGCTCATTTCTAAATTCAATTTCTTGTTCTAGCTTTCTGTTATGTTTCGTAAAAAAGTAGTCTTGATTATCCCGACCTGTCAATCAGCCCTAGAATGGTCGATAGACTGGTTAAGCGAGACTAATTTCAAAACAAGGGCACGTAACCTATCTTTTACTCAAAAGTGTCTGGATGTTATGGACGACACATGGAACCAGTTTTCAGTCTATTATTTATACATGATTAATGGTCATTGCTTATTAAGTACAACATGATCGTTTATTTAGTGTAGTCCATGTGACAGACCTGGGATTTTGGAACATCATTACCAATTTGATGAATAAATTCAACCATGATTTTCAGTTAGCCTGGTGGCTGAAGTGTTGAAATTTGGTTGATGGACTTCCGGGTTACTTTGCTAAATTGCATTTTGGCGGCCATCTTTAAAGATGGCCGCCGTTATTTCATTGAAATTGAGCGCATCGGGGAAACCTTCATAACTCCTGAAAAGATCGACCTATGGATATGGAATGTGGCTCACAATGTTCACAAGAAAATGCTTCTTCTGGTGCTATATAATACTTGTTGTTGAATGAATCATATATTTTCCAAATCAATAGATTATTCTGGAAAAAGCAACCTTTTGGTATTTTTATTTTCCCAGGTTTTCATGATTTATTTTATAAGTTTACTACCAAATCCTGTTCATAGTAATTTTAGCCAAATTATGTGTGTGGTCTTCTTAAGTTATTCAATTAGCATAAATAAATACGCCCAGTGGTCCTCCCTATACAGCTGCGGTGGCCGCAAACTCAACAAAAGTCGTAAGTAGACTGTCAAATTTAAAATGTTGAACGTCGGCGAGGCAGGGCACAAACTTAGTGAACTTTTAGCTAGTGTGTCACAATCGAAACGATATTTGGGGACGGGTTGTTTCTGTGTCAAAATTTGTCCCTCAAGACAATTTTGAGATTATGTCACTTCTGTGACGTCATTTTCGGTTGGGGTTCTGTCCGATGTCCAAAATGACCGCAAGGGAGCTAAAGATGATCCGAACAATTATAGGCCAATCTCAATTCTCCCCACAATTTCAAAGATATTCGAAAGGCACTTGAGCACTCAAATTCAAACTGATTTGGAAACCTTCAATGTCCTTTATGCTTACCAATCTGGATTTAGATCAAATCATTCATGTGCTACTGCACCGATCCGAATGACAGATAATTGGCTTGATGCTATCGATAATGGTGCGATGAGTGGTATAGTGTATCTTGATTTTAGCAAAGCATTTGATCTCATTGATCATAAGCTTATTATTGAAAAACTACATCTTTATCGATTTGATAATAATTCACAAATTTTGATTGAATCATATCTTGACTCACGGAAGCAAAAGGTATGTTTAGGATCAATTACCTCCTTAATTACTACAGTCAAATGCGGGGTTCCACAAGGGTCGATCGTGGGTCCTCTCCTATTCCTTATTTTTATAAATGATTTCCCACTCAATATTGAATCAAGTCAGATAGATTTGTTTGCTGATGACAGTACCCTGCATTGTTCACACAAAGATATTTAATCCATCGCCAATAATCTCCAAAATTATCTCTATTTGGTTGCTAAATGGTGTGAAAACAATGGGATGGTAATTAATCCTTCGAAAACAAAATCAATGCTGATTTCATCAAAACACAAAAGAAATCAGAAAAACCTAACTTTATCACTCCATAGTGAGAAAATTGAGACGGTTACTACCGCAAAATTACTTGGAATTCAAATTGACCAAGACCTTAATTGGGAAGCACGGATAGCAGATATGTCTAAAAAAACTTGCATCAAAAATATTTCTCCTAAATAAGATAAAAGATCATTTACCTTACGAGACAGGAATTTTATTTTATAACAGTTACATACTACCAATATTTGATTATTGCTCCATTATTTGGGGAAAATGCTACCAAAAGTAGATTAGACATTCTTTTAAAATTACAAAAGAGGGCAGCAAGAACTATTGTTGATGCACCGATTGAAACTCCGTCCACCTCTTTATTTACTAAACTCGGTTGGCTTACCCTTACACAGAGGATTCTTTACAATAAAATTGTCTTGGCATTGAAAATTATTACATTAAATACTCCACTTTATCTAAATTTCTATTTTATTGAAAAATCTCTTGTTTCCAAAACGGATATCTTGCTCCGTTCACAGACCAGTAAATTTCTTTTTCTTCAAAATTGCAAAACAGAATCCATGAAACGTACTTTTCATTATTCTGCATGTCTTTTATGGAACAATCTGCCTTTTGATATAAAGATGTGTAAAAATGTTGAAAATTTTAAGATTAAACTGAAAAGTCATTTATTTTGCACACTGAAGGAACCATAATATTCAACTGATGACATACTTATTATTTTTAACTTGCAACTGCATTCTATTTTATTTTGTGTGTAATTATAGTGTTCCTCCTATTTTCTACTTGTATAATGTATATGTTTTGAAGTTTGGGAGTGACTTATCAAACTTCCCACTTTAAAATGCTATTGCATTTCTAATGATTTTAAATTTATCCTGATATTACATGTATTATGTCTTTGTAGCTTAGGAGGGACCTATGGAAGATTAGTTTTTTTGCAAACTAAATACGTTGCCTCATTAAATAAAGTTATTATTATTATTATTATTATTATTATAGTATCATGCAAGGTAGGGCTTGTGATATATCATGTATAGGGTTTTCGTAGCCACTGAATTTAAAATTGAATTATTTATTGGAATTTTCGATGAAACGGAAAGGTTTGTTCCGCACAGGTATTAGCTTAGAAGGGACAAATACAATTTGTAGAACCAGATATTTGATGTTAGTGAACCCATTTTTTCTAGGACACCTGTTTCACACAAAATCTTATTTTCTATCCAGACGAACCTTCAGTATAATAATCTATATGCATACAAAGTTTATGAAAATACACATTCAAGCAGCATTTAATATGGTCTACCACCTGTAGGACACTCCCTTCAACTTTAAAATAAATTGTTTACTGAAATTTCGATTAAACGTAAACTTTCTGTAAAATGTAAAATACTCGACTAATATACCAGTTGTAACATGTTTAACATCATATCTTTCCACGCGAACTAACAATAAATTGTTCATTCGATAAAACGGAAACATGTTTTATACTTGTAAAATAAATACCTATTGTGTATATGATACGTTGAAGTCTACCATGTAATATGGAAATTTGCAACACGTTTATAAGCACCATATCTTTCTACATGAACTAACAATAAATTGTCCATTGGCTAAAAAGGAGACATTTTTTTAATATATATAACTGTAAAATAATATATGAATTATCGTTTTAACATCATATCTTTTGCCTCCTATTTCAGAGATGGACACTCAAAAGGAGTATGGTAGTTTCGGGGGTCCCTAAACTAGTCAATGTTCTTGCGTAGTTATGAATTTATGTCGTTTTTGATGAATTATTAAGATATATGCATAAGCTAAAAACACCAGGATATACTCTAGAAAATACCATTTAAATTATAGTCAGTTTTTTCAAAAGAAATTTCGAGTCTGGTTGTAGAGAACCCTGTCGTTCACCTCACGGAGCAAAGATAAGCCTGTCCTATCCTAGGTATCTTATATGTAATTTTATGTCAACTTCACAATTGTTAGTATAAATATAACATTTACTTGACAATGGATTTAACCGTGATATATAAAAATTCTGACCTCCAGAGGAACTATACAAACTCAAAACGCGATTTTCGGACAATTGAGACTTGTTAGATATAAACATATATATCTTTCGTTTCGTTAAAGTCGTATCAAAATTGTGACCTCTAGAGGGTCCACAACCTTTATATTACATACTTTAACACTGTTTGTGTCACGGGACCGGCAGTGTCAGTTCGATTTCACAAAATGCAAACTCCATCGCCATGAGGGTGAAGTTTGAATATTCGTGACATTCGTGCTGAAACTGCCCGAAACAAATAATGTAAATGTTTGTGATACCAAGATTGTGGAACACAATCGTTATCTGATTTTGATGAAACGTAATCAAATACATTGCTATATCTTTTATTGTGGATAAAATCATCCAAACAGCTTCCGGTACAGGAATCCTACGTATGACACAAGTCCAGAACAGCGTAAGTTTATTATATCAGTTTACTTATATCATGAAACACAGGGAGGGGCCTTTTTATCGTTTTTAGTCAATACTTCTTTTTGTTAATAATTCGAGGCATTTGGGGTAAAATAATCGATCAATGTTGGGAAAATGTCACATCATCCATCTAGTCTATAGTTTATTGGTTTATATTTCTTTAATTTGGAGAATTTTAATATAATTGTTGACTTATTTGTTACAGCAACAAATGACCAGATTTTATATGGTAATGATAACTTGGTGAAAAATCAGCAACAGATTAGAGACAATCAGACTATGGGTAAAACAACACTTTTATACGTTATATCCTAAGGGAGATAATCGACTTATGATCTTAGAAAAACTTTAGCCGTTGGATTCGGCGTTATATATATTGTATATTATAATTGCATATCCACAAAGAGCCTATAATGTGACAGTTCTCTGATGAAGATATTCTTACAAGGGATTGTCCACCGCCATCTGTTAGTATGCAAATTGTCCAGCGCACTCCCCATATATCAATCATGAAGACACGTATTGAATACGCATCAGATTTATCCAGATTCTCGCTTACAGGTGGCATATTTTACATCGGTGTAATTCCTGACTTCCACACCTGGAAGAAAATTCGAATTGAAATCATTTCATTGATCAAATTCGATTCGTATTAGGAATCATTGGCCACACAAAATATAGTGTTAAAGTGCGAGAGAGAGAGAGAGAGAAAGAGAGAGAGAAAGAGAGAGAGAGAAACGTACAACCGGAGAATTGAAACCACGCCAGTTGACTCAATGACAGCACGTATGATACAGCACGCACGGACTAACCATTCGCCCCACCACCAGCACCTATTCATATAAGATTATAAACAGAATAATTTATGAGAAATAATGGAAAATATATTTTGTTATTTATCAGAAATACTAGAGAATGATCTGTATATTAGTGCTGATGATGATCCTACACCAAATAAAGTTGATCACAGAGACAATAATCAAATGGGTAACATAAGAGATTTCTATACTGTAAATCGCATTCTAATCAGTTGTGAAAATATGTTCTTACCCTTAAGAACCTTGCCATCGTCCTAATACCCGACCGATTGGAACCTTTACAATCATTGTATCATTTAGCAAATATTACCCTGAACATATTGAAGTTTCGGCTTGGGTAATCAAATGGGTAACAAAATTTAAATTAAATCGGGTTTAACATCCTACGTTTCCGATTTTTATACTGTAAATACCACCTGATAACACTGCCCATTCTGCTGCAGCTGGACTGTTAACCGAGTTCGTTTTCATTTTGAAATCTGCAATACAAATCAGACATAGCTTCTCAGGGGGATTATATAGAACTAGGGTCATGTACTGTTATAAATACACATTCAGAATATATTTGGACCTGGAAATGGCCACCCAGCGTTGCTCGTCTTATCTCTCTTGTCATTGTCCTTCGGGGAGAAGCTCTTCGAAAAAACCCATCAATTTAAGTACGGTCGACATTTCATTGTGCATTGATTGCCGGATATCAATATTGTGTATGATTTGGTTATATACTGTATCAAATGCAGTTTTGGTATGATTTGATATTGTTATAGTGTTATATACTGTATCATATGCAGTTTTAAGACTATTAGTTTCATGTTTATCTGTTTATTGTTATAGTGTTATATACTGTATCAAATACAGTTTTAAGACTATTAATTACATGTTTATCTGTTTATTGACTAGAAATAATGGAGAACGACCTATATATCAGCGCTGAAGATGAAACGAATCCACGTGGAACAGGACTACAGGATGATGAAATGGGTAAATTTGTTTAACTTTGTATTTTTTATGATTTTAATTCCGTATGATCAATATCCAATTATTTAAATTGAACAAATGTAATTTAGAAGATTAAAGAAAAACAATCATGGATTCTCGTCAGATAATTTAAGAAATTGTGTTCAACGTCCACCCAACCACGGTCGGTTCGGGACTAACATAGGGCCTATTAATTAAGTTAGGTCAGATTATTTAGCAGTGGAAGCAACCCAGAGAACCCATAGAGGTTAGACAGGCGACGGTACCCTTGTCACGTACCTACCTAGGTCCTCATAAACTCGGATTCCGGTAATTTTCTCCCACACCTCCCCATGTTTCTCACTGAACATAGACCATTTAGTTTTAGACTCCCTTGTTTTTCATACATTTTACCGATATGGTTACTTATATAGGTAATTTTTACTTCAATATGCTTACATTCATATTTCATGTAACATATAGCAAATCATGACTCATACTGACATTACACAATGGTTTCTCTGGGGTATATTTCTTGTTGTTTTCAAATTTGAGTGAAGTCTGTATCACTACAGGCCCGGGACTGTACAAGCGCAGTCGACGCTTACGGCCAGTCAAGAATTCATTCATTTAATTTTATATGTACGTTTGTTTGTGATTTCGGCGTATTGTATCTTATCCGTAGATTTGTTTTGTGTAAATTATGCGCGGTGCAGTCCCCTGCTCTTTCTAATAGTCTTAGAATCCGACCTTTCCCCATCATATTCCAACATCTCGCCATCATACTACCACCAACATTTTTTTGACAATTTTATCCCACGTCCACCGTGAGATATTTCAGACTCCGTCAATTCCTCCTCCACCATTTAGGCTTCTGCTTTGTAAATTAAGCCCAGGATATATGTTACATAACATTTAACTAAACGTAACGACCAAAAACACAGACGACGTAAGGCATGTTGATTTTTGGAACGCCCAACGATACCTAGGAATTGTAGGGCGTCCACCAACCTTTAGTGGACCTTTTTTATTTTATTTTAACAGAAATACTGGAGAATGATCTTTACATCAGTGCTGATGATGACACAAAAACCGATGGAATAGAAACAAAACCAGCAATGGGTAAGAACTGTAACTCTCTTGATGAGATTTATCGAAATCCCTCGAGTGTCTGATTGGTTGCTGTTTGTTTGCGTGTGATTCTCCTGCAATTTGCTTTTAATGTCCCATTCCATAACTCTACCGTATTTTAAAAGAGTAACATTGGGTTTAATCACTTAGCAATAATTTGGGTTATTCCGATTGTCCTGGCTGACATTGTTAAACTTAAGTTCGCATAAATAAATTTTCAGTTTTGTTGTTGTTTTTGGAAATACCTGAGAACAATCTTATTTTTGGTCTCTTTTTGTAGTATTCTCTGGATATTACATATTTACGTATGGTTGTTTTGTAGTATTCTCTGGATATTACATATTTACGTATGGTTGTTTTGTAGTATTCTCTGGATATTACATATTTACGTATGGTTGTTTTGTAGTATTCTCTGGATATTACATATTTACGTATGGTTGTTTTGTAGTATTCTCTGGATATTACATATTTACGTATGGTTGTTTTGTAGTATTCTCTGGATATTACATATTTACGTATGGTTGTTTTGTAGTATTCTCTGGATATTACATATTTACGTATGGTTGTTTTGTAGTATTCTCTGGATATTACATATTTACGTATGGTTGTTTTGGTCACATTCTTTCGATATTACATAATATTTATGTATTGTTTTTGTTTTAGAAATACTTGAGAATGATCTGTATATACCTGCTGAAATAGACACTCGTATATTTTAAGGTGAGAATTAATCTTTTATTTATATAACGTACTGATTAATTTATTCAAATTAACTAATATTAAACGAATAAACGCCAAGACTTAACACCATGATAAAAGTAAAATATCTGGATGAAGAAGCTCTGATAGAGTTGAAGCAAGTTGAGTCTCTATCATGTGATACAGTCGCTGCATTAAAACATTATGATAAACAATCGTGTCCTACTGGATAAATCCAAGATAAGAGTACCAAAATGTGGTCCGGAGATGTAAATAATTGACCTCTATATATCCTATTATCTATTGCCTAAAAGTAAAGATAGTTGACCTCTATATATCCTATAATTAGAAAGTTGACCTCTATAATATATCTTATAATCTATTGCAGATAATAAACAGAATCCTACTGAATAAACCCGAGATAGAACGTTAATATGAGACCATTACCAAATCTGATCAACTCAGTTTAATTTATTTATGTTAATTTCGAATTGTTCAGCCCAACTTTTAAAAACATTAAAGTCGGTTCGGGGGGAAATAGTCAAATAGAAAGTTTACAGCTGAATCTAATATTTGCTAAAAGCGTCTTAGATTTTTGTTTGTTCATAGAAGTTTTAATGGGCATTACATGCCAATTTATGTAAGATATGTAAATATTTTAAATTGCATTATACTCTTGACATTTAGCTTTAATTTTATCACGTAACACTGGAGACCATATTGACATCTGACTTTTCTGCGCCAATCGAGGTTATCGAGACAGTCACACATTGCATGCAGTGTGGTGTGATGGGAAATTTGCCCAGACACCAGCGTGTCCACTCAATTTATCGCAGTTCAACTCCAGGGTTCACGCACGTGCACACCAAAGAGTAAGCGGGTTGATCTCGGTTTTGTCACTATCCTCAGGGATTTATCCCCAAGCATGCAGTTTTCGCGTTATGAGTTTTGGGGCAAAACAGTGGACATGATCTTCACAGTCAATATCAAAAATATCATTTACAACCAACACTTCCCAATACTTATCATCCCCAATACTCATCATTCCCAACACTCATTAAGCCGATTATCTGGACTGATCGCCGGTATACGAAGAAAAACTAAAACAGTAATGTATATAAGGCTTTTATTAAATTTAATTACACATTAGCTTCGGAAAAAACTGCTGAGGTCATGGCCGGCGGGACTAACATCAATCAAAGTTGTCAAAGGCACGCTTAAAATTAAAATAATCGGTATCACGATTAAAAGTGTTTTCTATAGTGTGGGCATCGGGTACACTCTCGGCTAGCCTATGTGCCACTCTCATACTATTCCTGCACTTCCTTCAGTAAACCAACCACAATGGTCCATAATTTCCCTCGAGTCATCGTCTGGATCCGATAGAGCCAGAGTCAAGGCGCACCCACTTCTGAAACTATGTGGGGTTTCACTTTGATAGATACCCAAAGTGGACAAATACAAACGAAGCCGCTCATAAACGACAGAATACGTAACAGGATTATCAAGGACGGTACCAGAATCTGACACTATCCGAAACAGATAACCATTCGATAAATTGACACCCATAAGCCTACAGCTACTCAAATACAATTCAATCGCATAGACAGGACAAATAAGCTTATCCTCACAACGCTTAATAACAAAATAAAACAAGCTATTTAAAACACAGTCTGTAAGCAGACAGTGGCCACATTAGTCCACGGGCATCCCTACGGAATCCCTTCTTCGACGGTACCTCACTCTCCAACGGAGCCCAAAAGTAAACTCGAAAACGCATGAGTATGTAATAATGGGGCCCAAACGGGAACTGGGTAGAAGATTGGGACCCAAAGACACAAAACCGGAAAAATAAGGGAGAAGGGAGGGAAAACATACGGGTTGATTTCTTCGCGAATTCGCTGAGCAAATACATTGACCCCAGAACTTTCGGGAGTGGGGTGAGGCGTAAAGTGTCTCCTCGTCATAGAATTAGAATCCAACGCCATGAGATCAACAGAATGCGGGCCAAACGCTGATTCGACAAGAGCCCATGCATTCCCAGATAATTTCGTATCCGAATAGTCTAATTTCCGGGAAAGAGAATCGGCCTGATTCTCTTTTGACGGTATATAATTCATTCTCAAATCAATATTCAGCCCCATGACCATTCGAAAGATTTCTTTCGTTATCTCATTCAAAGCCCTATCCCGAACACCTTGATTGTCCCAAGCATGAACTACCGACATATTATCCGTGTAAACATCCACACGGTTATCCCTGAGTTCAGAAGTCAAGGAACGAAAGGAACCAGGACCGACGCAGCCTCCTTCAAGTGTATGGGTCGTGCATCATCCGCCTGAAAATAGTCGCCTAATTCAAAAATATTGCAACCCAATAAATCATTTCTAAAAATAGCACCATGTCTGAAACTTGAGGCATCCGTTAACATAACCACTTGACGATGGGACTCTGGGCGCCATTTGGAATGTCCCTCCCAATTATCCAAAAACCTCCAATGCTGCAGCTCAGCCCGCAATTCGCTTCCAACAGTTACAATTGAACTGTTCTTTTGGCAAAAGGATATCCCCAAGTTTATCTCCCTTCAAAATAACTTACACCCGGGAATGGCCAAGGACATGGAAATACATTTCCCACTGATTCTTTGTAACGTTTTTACTCCAACACCCTCGACGGACAAAATAAACTCTCTGGGCTCAATAAACGAATTTCTTTTTTCCGGTGGCAAAATATAAGCTTCTTTCACCGAATCCACAAAGAATCCTAAGAATTTAATACATTTAACAGGTGTGAAAACGCACTTCCTAACCGAGAATGTATAACCCAACCTTGTCATTAACTCAACCATTGAGTAAGCTACCACCCTTGCCTGTGATTCCTGGCTACCGACTAAAGACCCCCCTCCCGAGGCGCCTAACCGGTCATCAATATATTGAGCCGTTCTAACCCCGAAGCTACGAAGATAAGAGGTAACGACCATACCCACAGATTGATATATAAACGCGGAGGCTTTCCAGCCGAAAGGCAAAGTAGTGTACGACATAATCCACCCTCCGAATTGTATCCCAAAATACGTCTGAGATGACTCAGACAACCGGACATGATCATAACCCGATTTTTCATCAAAGGATACCATAAAAGCCTCACTGTCGATTAAACGATGCACATCTCTCAGAGTGTCTAAATGGAAAGGTGAATCCTTGATCCACAGATTCATATACCGTTCGTCGTGGCAAAGACGAGGCTTCGAAGTTTCTACCGTCAAAGGTATAATAATTTTGGGTAGGGGACATGAACCCACTCTACCCCAGACACGGATACAACCGCTACGAATCCTTTCCTTTAATTCATCACGAATAAAAATGCCGAAGTCTTTACAAACGGAAGAATTCTCAAAGATTCGACTCGGTGGGGTATCAGAATCATAGGGTCTGCCCTTAAAATTACCCTTAAAATGTCTAAAGAAATTAAAAATATTCACTCCGTCCGCCAGCCAAGACCTTACGTCACTCGCAGTTTCAGGGGGAACCTTTTCTAACAAAGGCTTCCAGTGGCTTAAATTATTGTGCAAGTTCCCAGCTAAAAAATAATCTGGATTCAAAATTGGAAGGGAGTCCATCTCAAAAGCTACGTTGTTCTCTAAAAGCTGCTCCGCCTCTTGGTGTTTTTTTTTATCAAACTGCGGGTTAAAGGAGAGAGTTCCTCGGATTTGTCCCCGGAAACCGTAATCCACCTATGATGGTTTCGTTTCTCAACTTTTGATGGGTCAAAACCAATATACTCCCATGGGGGTATGGCGAAATCACAACCGACATCCTGAAGAAGAAATTGACGTACAAAAATACAGACTGAAAATACTGAGGAACCCTCACCCCTAACCCGCGTGGAAAAACCACTGGGGAATCAGTGTCCCCTGGGTAAAGAGTGTGGTTGCCTTAATACACCAAAAAAAACAACAAAGAAATGATGCGAATACACAGTTCTACCTAAATTTTAGTTTTTGCCTTTTTCATTAATTGACAGTCTTTGATGAGATGGTTTACAGAGTCGCAAAAATGACACTGCATGCGATTTTGAGGGCGACTAGCCCTTCCAAAAAACATCGGTCTAGGTTGATAACCTGGAAAACCGAATCCTTGAAAAGGAGGAAAAAAAACTTGGAGGGAGGTGGATATAAATTAGACATAGGGGATTGTGGCCTGGATTCGACCTCTTTCCGTTCACCATCAGTAGATTTAGTTAGATCAGTTGACTTTTCCTTCATGCACTTCGCCAAAGCTTTTGAAACTTTATCGCCAGCAGCTCCTCCCAAAACCGAAAGACACAAAGTTGACAAGTTGATTTTCCCCTGATGTCTGGATGCCTGCCTGGCAAGCTCCTCCAAAATATCCCGATCTTCATGTCCGTAAGATCTCGCAAGGCTTGCGAGCTCATCAAGGGTCAGTAGAATTAGAGATTCAGAGGGGTCATTTTGGGTGGCTAAGAACCTTACTTTAGTCTTGCGACTTTTCCATCTCATCACACCTCCTCTTGGACTCGACATGCTCATCTTGGTCCTAAAGGTCCGTTTACCATAACCACTATTACCAGCCTGGAAGAAGAAAACAAAAACAAAAAGGAAAGAAAAATAACAAGGAGGCACAGACCAAACAGGCACGAGATCCCATAACAGTAGAAAACCCACCTGAGGTTCGCTCAAAATCTGTCCTTTCGGTTGACCAACCTCGTTGGCGTATATAATTGCGTGATGCAGAGCCAGTCTAGCTGAAGCCTCATCTAACCCCTTTCCTGCCATTCCAAGAATCTCATCTATCTATTCGCCAGTCACCATCCTAAAGCCTGTCTGTATCTCCTAAAATTAAAGGAAGGAGTTTGTGAAGACTGGAAAATGCCACATGAAGAAATATTCTAAGTAAAACTAAGTCTTGGGGCTAAAAACCAATACAAAAGGAGATCTAACCTGAAAACCGACATTTTCTGTTCTTTCACCCAACTGAAGTCTGGCTAACTCGCCTACATCTGTTGCTCCTTCTCTTATTCGCCTCACCAAGGGAATAGGGTTAATTCCCTTCAAGGAATGTCTTTTCGTCAAAACTGTGACTACCATGATAACTAAAGGAAAACCAGAACAACGTTCTAAACATTGATGGCCAAAAATTCAATAATAGAACCGGTAATACAAATCACGAAGACAATATCAACACAAGCGAGAAAATCTCATCACGATGGACCTTTAAAATCACAAATTACACGACCAGAGGCGGACGCAAGATAATCGGTTAGGAGGCTCGCGGTGTCGAAAGGGATTCTTGGCGCATATGTGGACCAAAATATAACAAGTAACTCCGTCCGCGACATCTTTACAAACCAATAAAACTTCAGAAATTGCACATTTTAAAGGAACAGAGAAATAACAGAATAATCGATTATTATGGGGGCGCAGTAGCCTAGAGCCGTCCACCTGGGTCCGCCATTGCCCACGGTCTTCAACCCTGTATAGCTGACCTACTCACAAAGATCGTGCAGAGTCAACGAAACCATCAG